ACAAAGCCAAAAATGTATGCGTAGAATCAGAAATTCGTCTACAGAGTGGTTTTTTGACAGTTTTTGACGTGTTGGAACAAACCTCATACCATTCCGGTTTATAAAAATATAAATATCGGCGTTATCAGTATAAAAACTCGCAAATACCCTTTTTGAGAATGCTGTAGATACTTCACGAAAGCTCAGTATTTTTAGCAAACGCTTCAAATATCTAGCTTTTGCTAGTAAGTAAAAGTAAAAGGTTATTCACTTCAATTTCAGTAAGTAAATGCTATTAGCAAAAGCTAAATCTACCTAGTAAAAGCTAAAGCTATCACTTAATACTAAAAGTGAAAGCTCAGTTTTTATTCACACTGCCCCTTGGCTTAAAAATTTTAGTGGTGTTTAAAAGTTTAGCAGAAATGGCTGCGTTTATGAATATAAGGTTTGCGAAATTTTATCTCGAAAGAAAAAAAAGTCATGCCGAAGAATACCATATAGTTTGTATAGATTTAATTAAGAAAATGTTGAGTGAATAGCTAACTATTTTTTGGAGCCAAAAGCAGAGACTAGAGGTGATGCGTTAAGTCTGAAAAAACCGAGGAAAAAACAAATAAAAATATTCTTGCGATTTTCAAGTGATGATGATTTCAAATAGGGATTGGAAAAGAATAGAATACCCTGTATATTTTTGGCTAGAATAATTGATTTTTTTCTTCTGATTCCAAATATGTATACCTACCATATATGTTGATATGTATTTGGTTCATCTGTTTTTGTGCTATTTGAGTTGAAAATTGCATTAAGGCCGAAACAACGATGAGAATGCTGTGCTCTAATTGGTTGATATTTCGAATTTTGTTTTAAGCTATTTAAAAAAATGTCACATCAGAATTGGCTCAAATTTGGCATAAATCTTCTGTGATCGATTATCTACAATTCGCTTATTTTAGCCTTCCGATATTCTGCTTGATGGTTGCATAGCATGTTTATCAAGCTCAAATCCGTGAAAAGTATATTTTATTGATAACCACGAAAAACTAAAAAAGCAAATTGTAGATAATCGGGGATAATACCACGAGAGCTTCAAAATTACCGATAATTTTTCACGATTGCGTGTTTTCTATAATTTCACGAGTCCGTAGGACGAGTGAAATTTGCAGAGAAAACACGCATGAGTGAAAAATTATCTGGTTCATTTTAAAGCTCAAGTGGTATTTAGAGGATTATTTCACGTATGAGAATGCAAAAAATATGGAAATAAATATGTATTGAACGATTTGAACATCTCAACAATCAAAACAAATAAATGGTTGCTATCAGGAACCGTTTGTTTGTATCAAAAATTAGCATGACAACCATGTATACAATAACATGGGAGAATTATCGCTGTAATTCTCTCTAGTTAAACAAATGGAAAAGAGAATTTTCGCTGTAATTCTGGAAATCGTCACTTGTCTTATGGGATTTCTAACACATGAGTGAAATAATCTATCAAATAATATTTATGCCAAAGGATTTTGAAAATTATTGCGGATTTTTTGAGATTATCCTAAAATGAATTTTGAAGATGATAATTGGTGAAAACTTGACAGTTACAGTTCAAGCAATTTCAAATAGATGACGCCACGGCAAAAAAGCTACATTGGGAGCATCATAATTGTATATTTTTCTTTCTCTTTCACTAAGTGTTTCACCGACAAATTTTGTTTTAGACAAAAAATAAAATATTCGTCATTTTCAAAAACTAAATTTGAACATGGCGGCTTTAAGTAAGCTTCACCATTGATATAAGGAACTGGAAACAGACCTAATTTAGGTTAATGTGAAACCAAATATCAACATATGTATATTTATATTAAGCAGCGTTTCCACAAGCATAGTTTATTGGCGCCAGTGCACGTGCCAGTTTGCTGGCGTATTGATAGTGGCGCCAATATCTGTTTCCACTTGATATCAAAAAATTTTAACTGGCGCAGTAGAAAAATGAAAAATGCCGTCAATTTTAATGGTTCAAGCAGGTATTAATGTTGCTGTGGATATTTTGTTTCTAGAATTATTGCAGAAGACCCGAAAAACAAGAAGAAGAAACATAAACACAAGATCTGGGTACGAAAATGGATTTCACGCAGAAAAACTCTAGAAGCATCAAATAATTTACTGTCTGAGTTAGCGGATGGAGACCATGAAGCATTTCCAAAGCTTATGAAGCATTTCCAAAGCTTATGAAGCATTTCCAAAGCTTATGAAGCATTTCCAAAGCTTCTTATTTTGCTTTTAGCAGCAGTGATATCAAATCCACTTGAGAACACGAGAACTCGCACAATACGCCAACCTTATCCTTATAGATCCCGTTCATTCCTGTTTTTGTAACACGAAAGTTTGCGATTCCACAAACAGGGATGCTCTTCCATAAACTTTATATGTTCAATTTTTTAGATTTACTTGACATTTTCATTAGTTTTCTGGAAACGACTTGTTAAAACTTTTGTATTTTTTTTTTGGCAAAAAGGAGAAAAAATGTAAAAAACTGTCACACATGGCAAACTGGCGCCAAAAAGTAGACATCCATTCTACTTTACTGGCGCATGAATAAGTGGCGCAAGTTAACTGGCGCCAGTTAATTTAACGAGTTTCCACACGCCAGAAAAGTTACGCCAGTCGACTTGCACCAATGCATGTGGAAACGCCGCTTTATGGTATATTTGGAATCAGAAGGAAAATATTCAGTGCGTTCCATTTAAAAAAATGCAAGTGTTTGTCATTTTATCTATCTCTGTTTGTCATCATGACAGTTGGCACCTGTCATTTGCCCTACAACTTTTCATTTGCTATTTAATTTTTTTTCGAATTCTGAAGCACTAAAATGGTCGCAGCGCCAGAACTAAAATAGCTAGCAAAAAAAGTCATAAGGCAAAGTTGATCAGAATGTATAATTATCAACAACTGTTATTGAGGTCATTTTGTTGGAAAAAAAATAAATAAATGAGGAACAAGCCAATAGGGCCGAACGCACAAGGCTTTTGAGTGTGATTTTTTCGCTCAATACTCAGAACAGCTCTGAAAAAATTAGCTGCCCCCTGTAAATTTTTTTGAAACACCCCTATATTCACTGGACTATTATAAAAATATAAATATCGGCGTTATCAGTATAAAATTTCGCAAACACACTTTTTGAGAATGCTGTAGATACTTCACGAAATCTCCGTATTTTAAGTAAACGCTTTAAGTATCTAGCTTTTGCTAGTGAGTAAAAGGAAAAGGTTATTCACTTCAATTTCAGCGATTGCTATTAGCAAAAGCTATGTCTATCTAGTAAAAGCTAAAGCTATCACTTAATACTAAAAGTGAAAGCTTAGTTTTTATTCACACTGCCCAATAACACAAAAATTACTACGTAACTATTACAACACTCTGATTAACTAGTTACTAAACCAAATCACCACCCAGTGTCTTACTATCGACCTTTTCCCTCGTTGGCCGGCACCGATTTATAATGCGTTGTTGCTCCCAGAATTGTCTAAGATAATTAACTTCTGTTCGTTTCGAATTCGCTGGGCCATTGCCTGGTGTAATTCTATTAGCGAATTTTCTTGACATGGAACAAATACATATGAAAATTAGGTAAGTATACGTTTAATATAAGCTGCCCAAGTAGTACAGTATTGTCCGTCGTTTTTAATCTGACACTTTCCGTATGAGGAGCGAGGGGGTGAAGCATATGGCAAAAACAGGTGTGACTTCAGATGACCATTGGCGTTCGAACGTAAGGTCTTCAAATTTTGCTCAGTTTATTCAGTAACGTATTACTTAAACATTTAGCCATTCTTGCTCAAAAGTTTAGAAATCTTTTTGGGATCCAGAAGTATAGTGAAATTAATTAAACAGTGTATGCACGTGATCAAAATTAATGACATAAGCACGTCACAATGTTGCCGCTATTAACTTTCATTTTACTTTGACGTACCATGTCTAGTAAAATTTTTTATCACTAAATCAAACAAACATCGATTTTTATATGTATAGAGAGTGTATTATGAACACAATCTAAAAAAACTACTCACTTTTCGTCGTAAATTTGATTGCGAATAGAGCTAACATTAAGGTGATCTTGATTCGTAACCGGCTTCTTATGTGGACGTTTTTTCTTTGGTGAATTTAACGCTGAATTATCTTTAACTTTTTGAGAGAATTTACATTGGATTTTACTTACAGTGGTTATACCAATATTCAGTGCAGCTGCAACACGCTGGAAAAATATTCCCAATTAAAGCCCCAGAAGATTTATATTTGATACTATCAATATACTTCACCTCTCTAATGCTATTTATTGGCAAAAAGGGGCCCCCATTATCTCGTTCCTGTTCAAAGAAACTAATTATAGACGCAACGAGTTTCTGACTGACTATTCAATGACTTTGGCATTTCATAGATACACAAATAGAAATAATTTCAAATTATTAAAATCAGTAACCGCAGATTTGCAGCAATATTTGGCAACATAACCCATGAGTGCCAACCTAAATGTCATTTTATCGGCCGATTCGGTTAAATGCCAACAGTGTTCTGTCTTTTTTTAACTAAGGTTAAATAAAAAGGAGAATGAGCTCTCAGCTTGAAACGAATTTTAATTTCTTACAAACTGCAATTGGCAATAATTTCAACGTCATTGATCACGTGCATACACTATTTAAATAATTTCACTATACCAAGTGTATTTCTTCTCATCCATTTTCTGAATTTTTTCCATTTTATTTATTTTTTCATGCTCAATTTTAATGAGTTGTTCGATAACAGGAGCTTCGGCAGCCGTTGATTACTGTCACGATAATCTTTTGATATGTGTAGTTGCCTCACTTTCTATTAACGTGAAAACGAGACTCTAAGCAAGCTTTTAGCAAATGTCCCCTTCCTAAAGGGCTATTTTCTGCCCTCACTCGGGGCTTGAAAAAATAAATTTCGAAAGGAGTAAAAAAATACAATTATTTGAATCTCAATTGTTTCTATTGCTAATGACTAAAATGGTCTACAGTCTACAGAGTATATTAAGTCCACAAAAATAGGAGAAGTGAACTCGAGAAAACTAGCTTGCTTCTACTTTCGTGACCACAAAAAGATCCCAATCACGATATCTTCTAAAGGGCCCCATACACTACGATGGAACACGACAGTTTTCATTGCCGCGAGGAAACACGTCGTTCCAAAACCGAAGTGTGTGGCAGAAAACTGTCGTGTTTTTCTACCACACACTTCGGTTTAGGAACGACATGTTTCATCGTGGCGATGAAAACCGTCATGTTTCATCGTAGTGTATGGAGCCCTTAATGGGCCCCACACACTACATTTTTTCTCGTCGGTTTTCATCGCCACGATGAAACACGTCGAGGCCCCTTTAAACACAAAAATGGGTAGAATAATGGCCCTATTATATTCCTTTAAAAATCTCTCGTGCCAAAAGCATGTAAAATTCCGACTTTGAATAAATTATTGGCTAAATAAAAATTGTTTTACATTTTTGTTTTGGTTTCAGTGTGTCCAAATTCAAGTGGTGAGACCCTTCAGGACTAATTTTTCAGTAAACTTAGTAACAAATGAAAAACACAATAAGGATAAAAATAAGGATTCAGTCAGTAGCTCTTCCAGTTCCTCATCTTCAGATAGTGATGACCAGACTGATGACGATTCTGACTGTGATGAAGGTAAGCGAGCTATAAAAAAATCTACGGACTCGTGATTGTTTTTTTTGTGGGGGTTTTAGGTTCTGTTTGTTGATTTTGTGCTGTAATTTTTAGAAAAACTGTAGGGTTAATTGAATATGATTGAATATTTAAATCTAGGGAATTGCTCAACTCAATTAGGTAACTATGAAACCGTCAAAGAAAAATCCTTCCCATCAGTCTTAACAATCAAATCTTGAAAAGTTTTTAGATACTGTTCGATAGAAGGATTACTATGTACTATAACAGTTCTTTTACCTATTAATTTTATTTTCGAAAAAATTACTCCATTTTAAAAAAGACGGCGCTCTCTCGGAAGCGAAGAAGAGATACATACTTTTAGTTGACTTGTCACTGCCTTGAGTTGATTTCTCAGATTAGTAGTTTCTGAGAAAATGGGATTGAAACCAAGACTCGAGAGTGTTGTTTTTCCAAAAAGTCTAACTTGCAAATTTAGACGTTTTGGATGCAAGGGCTGTAAGCTGTAACGAACAATATTTGTTGTTTGATTTTAGGATTTGTTTTTCGTTGTTACTTTAAATTATGCATTTCTTGTGGCTTTCATAAAAATATAAATTTCTAAAAAGCCGAGATAAAACTTAATTAGATTCTCCATAGTTTAAATTACATTCAAATTGTCCGCATTTAATGCGCACTACCATTTTTTTTTTTTAAATGAAAATTAATCCTAGATTTAGACGAGAATTAAAATTTCACGATCCTGCGCCGAATAAGGAACGGGATTTTCCAACTATTACGCCTCATGTATTAGATAGTTAAAGTTGAAAAATTTAATATTGAGTTTAAAATTTTCGGTGGATACTGGATAGGTACTAAAAATTAATTTTTACCCGACAAACCATTTTGATATCCGATTTGGACACTTTCCTTTACCTAGCTCTCTTTTATTCAATATACACAGATTATTCAATATTGGATCCTGCTGTCGAGTGCAAATGGAATATATCGATGGAATATATTAAATCCCGCAGGAACGGACAATCATGCTGGTATGTAACATCCTCAGTGCCAGTGGTGACAAATCGAGATCGAAAAAGCGGTCTATATTAGAATACAAATTTTGATCCTATTTAATGTCATCTTTCAGTAGGTATAACAGAACTTCGAGCATAATAATAGAAAAAATACTCCTATTAGTCCTATTGGAATTGAAACTCACTACTTTGCTTTTAATATCTTAAACTTTTCAAATATAAAAACAGAATTTAATTGTCGGAAACTATGGAACGCTGACTTAAATAGGAAATGGCTTATTACGCTCTACTTCTTTTGTGAAACAATTACCATGGATCGGTGGCTATTGATCCATAAGGAAGGAACCTATGCTATGTTCCCTAAACCATCACGTCACCGAATGCAAATTCAAAAGCGGAATATATCCGGAACAATGGAGTATACTCCTGCTGTATACGGAATGAAGTTGCTCTGTCTATATTTGCATTTTATTAATCTGTTTTGTGTTTTCCGGGTATTTGCATATCGGTTTTATATAGATGTTAAGATGAAGAACACCTGCTTATGTGTATATATTTTATTAAAACTTGCTGACAATTTCAAGGAAATTTGCTTGAGATGTCGCTTGTTTTACCGCTAGAGCATAGGAATATTTTTGATCAAATATTGAAATAAACAGTAAGCTCTAGAATTCTAGAATTGTTATAGCAGTCTCGAAAATATTGCGGGAACTTCCTCGGACTGCTTTCGTATTTCCTCGGACTTCCACTGACTTTCTCAGATTTTCTAAATAATTTCTCACACTTGCCTTTATCGTAATTCCATGGATTTTCACGCACTTCCTTCACTTGGGTCAAAGTAAAAACCTCCCGGCTGGAGAAGAATCCTTAGAACCGAGATTCGCACCAAATTTATGCTTCGTGTTTTTTTTTTGGAGAAGTTGCGAGGATGCAGGTGTTAAACACCTCGTTTCAAGATTTGAGGGAGTTTCCAGATTTTTCAAGAAAATCTCTCAATTTTCAAGATGCTGCCTATGCCATTTTTACCATTCTTCTCGCTTGCGCTTGTTGTTTCTCTTTAGTTTGATTTGATGTCCTAGATATACATATTTCACCACATGCATCCCTCTATTTATTTTTCGTAAGATTCTTGCTTAAATATCTAAAATAAAATTAATCGGATTTGAGGAGAGGGCATTCCTAAACTCAAATGCTACATACTTCTGATTGGCACACATTGTAGTGTACCCTGCTCAACCTTTGTAGATTTTATCACTTGACCAAACTCAGAAACTCTGAATACAAGCACTTTAATTTTTGTTTATATAATAAACTCTCTATGAGTTGCATCTCTGTTTATACTGAAAAAAAATGTATTCTTTAAGGTTTAGTGGAGTCGGATGGAAATGGAATCTCATGAAGACATTTCATTTATAAGCAGTCTGTGGCCCAATTCTTGAAAAATATCGCATACGAAAGATTCGAATTTGACTGACAGCATGTAAATTAAATGGGAAGCGTTCGAAATCATTTCAAATTTCCTATGCGATATTTCTCTAGAATTGGGTCCCTGTTCTAGGATCCTATAGCAGAATATCAATCAGCTTTAGTTAAGAGCATGTAATAAAAACATTATTCTATTTATGTTTAGGCCTCCCAAGTTCTCTATAGCAAAAGTGAGCGACTTAAATATCTTTTAAAACATGATACATATAATAACTTTTTTCTACTTGCGTGCGCAAAGTAATCCCTTTCCACACTCATTTGCGTGCGCAAAGTTGAACTTTGCGCACGGAAACTCTTTGCGCACTCATTTTTGTTATGCATGATTACCATAGTTATACTTGATTTTTCAATGTTTTGATGGTTTCTGAATAAACTAATATTCAAAATGAAGGGTTTTAGTTGAAATTAGCGCTTAGCTAACATGATGTTTCCTATCAAAGGTGTCCAAATTGAACCAGCCTGTACTGCTAGGAATTTGTAGAATTTTTTATATTTGAGTGACTCTCATGAAAATATTCTAGCTGGTATTCTAGAAATTCTAGAAGGTGTTAAAAGATTTTTGGGGATTTAATTTGAAAGGCATTTTGAGGAATTCCAATAGATTTCAAACGATTTTTGAAGATTTTGATTTGATTGATTTTTCTATTATTTTAACAATTCAAAGTCTACTTTTTTAAGATACTCGTAGAAAAAATATTGTTCCTAACACTTGCGCAAAGTGTCTTTCCCGCACTCAAAGCTTATCCGAACTCCGCTTCGCGTCGTTCGTCTAACTGCTTTTTCGTGCGGGAAAGTATCACTTTGCGCACTTGTTAGGAAAATAACTATATTGCACAGATAATAATACTATTTTTTTTACTACAAAACAATAGCCCGTAAATAAAACAAAGTTGCTAAGCAATAATCGGTACGGCCAGCTATTGACTTTTACTTTTTGCCGTGACAGCAGGGCTCGATGACAGCAGGGCTCGATGACAGCAGGGCTCGGCTATCCTTTAACACACGTGAGGTGTTTTCGGTTAGTTAGGTAATTTCGGTTAGTTAGGTGTTTTCGGTTAGGTTAGGTAATTTCGATTTTCCTGTTTGCTAACACGGCCATCCTGTAAGGAAGCGTCCACGCGACTTGTTTATTGTTTCTTTATACCTAAAAAGAAATAAAGCAGCAGTATTTTTCATAACAAACGGACTCGTGTTAATTAGTAACGTAAGTTATTGCAGATTCTAATGGTATTGCCAATAATCCTTTAAATGAAACTTGGTGGGATTGCCAACCATTTCAACAGACATTGATAGGATAGAAACACCAGTAATAATAATTGTTCCAACCATGGCGAGAAGCTAGTGGGAATGCCACTTTTTCAATTACTTTTGGAGGGATTGCCACCATTTATTTCAGTAGACCAGTGGGATTGCCACTAAATATTATCGTTTTTGGTGGGATTGCCACCATTTTTTTCGATGGACTAGTGGGATCGCCACTAAATATTATGTCAAGTATTTTTGGTGGGATTGCCAACCATCTTCTAAAGTTTAGTGGGATTGCCACTAATTATTATTTCAAGTACTTTTGGTGGGATTGCCACCTTTACACTAAATATGGAGAATGGAGTATTAAAGTAAGCTTTTCAGATATTGATGGGATCGCCACCAAAACACAATTAGTTTTGAATAGGTACTTAGGAACTTAATAGGTAATGTAGGATTGCTACTCACCTTTTTATAATTACTGCGATGACCATGGCCTTAATTGGTCATGTGCGGCTACCGTCGTTCGTTGTCCCTTTTTGTGTAGCGAATTGTGAATCTTCAATGGCTACGACATCACCTGGCTTAAACAAGGTGGCCCGACGCCGGGTTTCATTAAATCGTTGAGCTTGACGGTCACCAATTTTTTTCACACGTTGTTGTGCTATTGCGATGGCTTCTTCTGGATCAACCAACGAATCATTTGGTGGTTCGCCTAAGAATTTCCGGGTTGCTGCTAACCTTGGGTTTGTGCCAAAATGCAACACAGCAGGTGAGTAGCCAGTTACCGAGTGAACCGTAACATTCAAATTGTCCTCGATGGCTGGTAGGGCAATCGTCCAATCAATTTCTTTTTCGTGAGTCAGAGTAGCTCGCAACAGATTAAACATGGTTCGCATAAGGCGTTCTACCTGGGCATTGCCTCTGGGTACACCAGTTGCAATATGATGTAATTCAACTTTCTGTTCACTCATGAAGTTTTGAAATATAGTGGAAGTAAAAGCAGCGGCCCTATCCGCCACTATCCGTTTGGGCCTGCCCAATTCTTCAAAAACCGGCAACAGCGCCTGAATAGAGCATTCAGATGTTTTCCTCGGAATTGACTGGAGTCTACATAGTTTTGAAAAGGCATCAATAATGACAAGGATTTGCGTGCATCCATTGGAGTTCACCAACGGGCCAGCATGATCTATATGCCAGGTTTCTAAGATAGCATCTGGTTTTTTTCCTTGTTGGCAAAATCCACGTCGGGGTCCT